CCCTGTTCAGGATGTTTCTCTGTCTCCTTCCCCCTCAGACGATCTCTATCGACCTGTCTTTGCGTCTGTCGGCAGGTCTGCTCTGGACTCCTGCCAGTGAATTTCCCCTTCAACTCCAGGGCTCCATTCTGCTCTTGGGATCTTGAGCGTGCATGCACACACTCCAGTGCGTTTTTTTTAATTGTTGTTGTTTATGTATTATTTATTTTGTTTGCTGTAGGGCACACATGCTTATCAGAGGGTGGGGGAAGTGAGAAAGCAAGCTGCCAGATCAGAACCATGGTCCGCCATTTGGGAGCCCGGTACCCCACCTCCACGCCATGCCTCCTGCTGGTCCCTCCCAGTGCATTCCTCAAGCCTCTAGGTCCAGGCCTTGAATCACACAGCCGGCCATGTGGGTCCAGTCGCCTTAACCGCCACACCACCTGTCGGCCACTCTTACATTTTGTAATTTTATTTTTTATTTTTCTAGAGGCACATGCACTCGCCAGAGAGAGAGAAAGACGGAGAGAAAGGCAAAGCCATGCTGCTATCCCTTCATTTCTCCCTCCTCTCTGGATCTGGGCATGCACACACACTCCCAGTGCGTTTCTCAAGCCAGAGCAAAACCCTATGCTTGGCCATGTAGGCTCTGGCTCCCGTACCCATCAGGCTGCGAAGCCAACCCTTCCATTTGATTTTTCTTTTTAGGTTTTTGCTATAGGGCATGTGCACTCACCACAGAGAGACAGACAGAGAGAGGGAAAGTGAGAAATCCCCCTCCTAAGGGGGATGGCCTACCACAATGTCTTCTCCATTCTCCTGGAATTTTGGGCACTCACATACATGTGTCCTATGTGATTTTCAAGGCACTGTAGTCAGCCCTGTGGGAGTCCGGTGCCTTAACCACCTCGCCACCTGCTGGCCCCTAATTTATTTTTTTTTTAATTGCCAGAGGACATGTGTATTCACCAGAGAGCGAGTGAGCTCCAGGGAGCGCCCTGCAGTGGGCGTGGTCATGCCACAGTCCCCATGAGGATTTCGGGCATGTGTGCACCCACGCCCACTGTTTTCAATCTCCTGGAGTTGGGACTTGAACCACAGTTAGCCGTGTGGGATCCAACTGCCTTAACTACCAGGCCACAGAGCCAGCCCCTTTTGATTTTTAGACAAGCTCACCACCACAGTTCTCTTCCCTCCCCTTCCTCGGTTGGACTGAAGGCATGTGCTTCCACAGCCAGCCAGCCCTTTTTCACACAGGGTCTTGCGCTGTTGCCCAGGCCAGTCTTGAACTTGTGGTCCTCCTGTGTCAGCTCCCCGCAGGGTGGACAGTAGAGAAGACAGATTACAGTAAGACCATCCCCATTGCGGGGTGGTGCTTTGTCCCCCTCTTGGTCTCTGTCTCTATGGCAAGCACGTGCAACCCCAGGCAGTTTGGAAAAACAAGTTATGGAAAGATGGAACTGAAGTGTGGGTTCATTTTGGTGCAAAACATTTTGGGGGTCTGTGCACTTAATAATAATCATATATTTGGGCCAGCAGATGGCTTAATCGTTATGTTGCTGGACTCCCACATATTTGACCACAGTTCCAGTCCCAGATCCGGTGGCTTAACATTCACACTAGGCACATATGTGTGTACACGCACGCTCGCACCCAAAATCCCAAGAGGAGAATGGAGGAGAAGGGGTTACAACATGGCCTTCCCCCTGGGGATACTTTCTTGCTTTCTGTCTCTGTTCCCTCTCCGGAGAGCACATATGCCCTATAGCAAAAATCTCTCTCTAAAAAAATAATAATAAGCATATTTTATGAACTGTTTTGAAGACTCTTCATACTTATAGCTGCTTTGGAAGGTTTTTGTTTTTTTGAAGCTTTGCTATAGGGCACATGCACTCACCAGAGAAAGACAGACAGAGGGAAAGTGAGAAATCACACCCCAGGAGTAATGACCACACCACAGTCCCTTCTCCTTCATTCTCCTCTGGAGACTTCATGCACGCACACCACACTCCTGGTGTGATTTTCAAGCTGTTGGGCTAGGACTCGAACCACACGGTCGGCCATGTGTATCCAGCAGTGTAACTTCCATGCCACCTGCTGGCCCCCGGCCCAGTCTTTTAATGGCTATACAACGTGTCCCCTTTTGAAGATGCCCCTCAATTCAGGTCAGTCCCTTTGATGGCTCTCACTTTTCTCCAGGCAGACCGCTCTGCACTGACGCCTCTGTGGCGACCTCAGTGCATCTGCTGAGCTCTGCCTGCTGCAAGGGCTCACGGCAGCCCGGCCCTGGCCTTCCTCACCCCCACCTCCGTTCTCAGGGAAGACACTGAGAACAGTGGCAGAAGCGGAAAAGCGCCTGGGAGCCGCAGAGAGGGATTTCATCCACACAGCTTCCATCAGCTTCCTCACACCCCTGCGCAACTTTCTGGAAGGGGACTGGAAGACGATTTCGGTGAGGACCAGTCTGTCTCCCGTAGCTAGGAGCCCCCTCAGCTCCCAAGCACAAGCTCTCTCCCATGCTGGGGCCTCCCCAGAGGCGGCTGAGCAACTCCCGTCTTGGGGCCTTGGTTTCTCTGACGGGCCTGTGACCAGCCTTGCCTCAGCTGAGGGTCTCCCAGGGCTGCTTGGGCTCTCATGGTCCCCTGTTCTCCACCCACAGAAAGAGAGACGGCTCCTCCAAAACCGGCGTCTGGACTTAGATGCCTGCAAAGCCCGGCTGAAGAAGGCCAAAGCCGCAGAAGCCAAAGCCACGGTAGGTGTCCCCTCTGGCCTCCTGGCCCCTGGCTCTGGTTGGAGCCGAAGGGCAGGGGCTGTGAAGGGACCTGGTGTTTGGCATGACCTATCTCCCTCTCCCTGACTGGAGAGGCCTGGCTGGGGGCTCTGGGTCGGGCTGGCCACTGCAGGTCACACCTCTCTGTCCCCACCCTCATGGGTACCTTGTGGTCCTTGTGGTCCCAGGCAGACATGTCTGGGGGGGCGGACCAGCAGTGCCCCCAGCTGGGCACAGTGCACCCCACAGCCTCCCCAGACCACCAGCTGGAGTCTTGCATGCCTCTGCCCCACCCTCCCCAGATGCTCGCTCTGTCCCCGGCCCTGCCCGCACGGCTGCCTTTACTAACTGCCCCCACTGCTGCCCACTGGGCCTGGCTACCCTGTGCTCAGGCTCCCCCATGGAAGTAGAGCCCAGAGCTGCGTGCTCGGGGGTGAGTCTCGGAGGCCCTCCCCTGCAGCCCCATGGCTTAGATAGGACTTGGACATCCCAGCCCCCTTCATCCCAGCTCACAGAGGCCTGGTTGGTGTGGCCAGGGCAGTGAGACACAGCACAGGACGATTTGACTAGGACTAGGCCAGGTTCTGGGTAGCTGGGCTCAAGGGTGAACATACTCCTGGCATGCCAGGCTGTTTAGGGGTACAGGGTCTAAAGGCCACACAGCCCCTGAAGAAGGAGCTCCCAGCCGGTGAGCTGCCACAGGGCCTGCTCAGCTCCCTCTGCTGCCATGGGCAGCTCCAGCCCTAAACCTTCCTTGCGTCCCTCTCCCACACTGTGGCCTATGTGGCCACAGAACCCAGGAGCCACGGCCAGACCTGTGCTGCCTCTGGCAAGAGCTGCAGTGGAGTCTGGGCTCATCCAGGCGTGTGGGGTCTAGACGAGGGGGGCCCTCTGCACCCACAGCCTCGTTAGCATTTTCCAGGATGACTGGCTCTTGGGATGACCTCTTCGAAGTCACCAAGAGGGGACAGCCTCCCTGTCACTCGGGGCGGACAGTTTCTCTGGAGTAACTTGAGCACGCTGGCCCTCCAGCAGCCAGGCGGGGCCCCTCCTGTCACTGCAGCAGGGCCACCTCTTCTCTAGGCTGTGGGCCTGCAGCCTCGCGCCTTTGGGTTAGGCCAGACCACCCCAACACCAGCCCCAGGAACGGCGTCCCAGAGGCCTCAAGCCCAACAGTGCTGCCCCTGCGAACTCCCATCAGGATGCCCCCAGTGGGCGGTCCGCCTGGTGCCCCCTGCCGTAGGGCTGGGGGCCTGCTGCGCCTGCGCTGGGGACTCACTAACTCTCTGTTTCTGTTCCTTCCCGTCTGCTTGGGTAACTTGGCTCAGTGTGAGGGAGATGTGAGTATACCTGTCCCACGTGCTGTGCTGCTTCTGGTTTGCCGTCCAGTGCGGGCCACCGTGCCCGGCTGGCTGGGCGTGTCCTCGGGCTTTTTGCAAGCAGCTGGTCTCCCCACCAGGGCCTCTATGTGGAGCCTCTGGTTCGGGGGGTTGCCAGGCGTTGGAGCCTGTGAATCAGCTTTTTGCAAATGGTGAAAGCCTGTCAGTCCATCCGTCCACGCATCCATCTGTCCACCCTCGGTGTGGGGGAGGGGCCTGGCCCTGGGGGAGGAGCGAGAGGTGTGTGTGGAGATTCTGGGGTGGAGAAAGCTGTGCTGGGGGGAGGCCTCATTGGGGACCATGGGTCTGACTGGGCATCTGGGAGGAGGCATGGCCCTGGGTGGGGGCGGAGCCCAGCCACCCACAGGCAGGGGCTGACAGGCTGCTTGCCTCCTCATGGCGCCTGCTTGCGGGCCCCCAGCGTGTCCACCCCTTGGTCTGTGTCTGGACCCTGCTAGTCCCTAGGCCTGTGTGCTCTGGGCAGTCAGAGTGGGGAGACACGGTCCACACTGCTTCTGTCTGTACCACCTGTCTCTGGGCCAGCCTCCTGGCCTCAGCCCTGGCCCTGGGTGACCCCTTCCCCCCATGAACTCTGTTCCCCGCCAGACGGTGCCTGACTTTCAGGAGACTAGACCTCGTAATTACATTCTCTCGGCCAGCGCCTCCGCGGTAAGCGCTCCCCACGCCCGACCTCTCCCTACCCCACCCCACCGCTGGCCCTGGCGACCGCGCTGGCACAGGAGCCCAGGTCAGGCCCACACTGCGCACATGGTCAGGCATCCCGGGGCGCTGCTCGGGAGGCTGCAGGGGCCACAGGCAGCAGTCCCCACTCCGTCCCTGGCCTGGCCCAGGCCCAGGCCCAGTGACACAGCTGCCAGTCTGGCATCTCCCTGCAAGTCGTTGAGTGGGACAGCATAGGGAGCCCAGGCCACAGCTGTCCCAGTGCCAGCCTGCTGCCCCCTCCCCATCCTGGGTGGTCCTGAGAGTGAACAAGGGCCGAGGCCCTGCCTGCCCTGAGTGCCCAGACGCCCAAGACGGTGACAAGGACACCTAGGCACATCCACTGGATGTTGTAAGAAGCACCAGCAGGCGACCCCAAGGGGGCAGGAGGTCCCAGAGCAGGGCGTGTCCCGGGTCGGCAGGGACGGGGCAGGAGGGGGGCAGGGCTGGCTGGGAGGGCTTGAATGTCCATGTCTGTTGTTGTCTTACAGCCTTGTTGAGATTCTTGGTATTTACTGTTTAGTGTGGGAGCTAGGCCAGTCACCTCTCCCTCATGCCTCGCAACCACGCTGCACCTTTTCTGCCCTTTTCTCTCCTCCGTCTCCCTGTGGGTGAGACCCTCACGCATGCCCCTGCGGCCCCCACCCATCATACGCATGCTGCAAGTGGCCATCCTGCAGTCCTCCCCAGGGCGCCCTGTGGTTGGCTCTGGCAGGCCCCGTGGCTGGGTATTCTCCCGCTGCCCTCCGGGGGTGGGTTTCCTGAGCAGCCCTGGGGCCCATGCACCATCCACACAGCCGGCCCGATCTTGCCTTCCCTGTTTCAGCTACTGTCTGAGGTCAGATTTCCAGAAATGGGCAGGAGAACAACTCCCAGTGGTGGCAGGGTGTGGGGCTTTGTCTTTAGACCCTGGAAGGCACTCCCCACCCTCCTCCCTGGGCCCAGGGTAGGCAGCGTTCTGAGGGAGGAGAGGGCCCTGTTCATTCTTTCCTGTGACTCAGGCACGAACTGTCTTGCTCTGCTGGAGGACGGCAAGGCTCAGGAACTGGCCCGGGGTTGATGGTCCTGCCTCCCAGCCCTTCAGCCTTAGCTGAGAGTCAGGGCGGGTAGAGGACGCTCAGGCTCTTGAGACCGCACTCAGGGACTGGGGCAGACACTAGGACCCAGGCAGGACCTCCGCTGGCTGTCCCCCTCCCTGCATGTGGCATGTCAGACAATGGTCCCTGCTCACAAAGTCTCACCCAGCCTTGGCTCCCGGTCTGGCTGGGGCTGGGGGCAGAGGGATGGGGTGGGGCAGGTCTGGCTCTGGGTCTTGCCCCACCCCTCCTGCTGACTGGTGCTCACCTCCCTCCGTGCTGGCCGGTCCTGTTGTGGTCTCCGCAGCTTTGGAATGATGAGGTGGACAAGGTGAGTTGGGGCCTGGGGAGCTTAGGGGATGGGGCGGTGGGGACAAGGGCCCAGGAATACCTGCTGTTGTGGGCTCGGCCCCACCTCCATTGGAGCCATTGTCACGCCCCCTCTGGGCCTCAGGCTCCCCCAGTAGGTCCTGAGTGGGGCTTCAGCTTCTCCAGGGTTAGGGCTGAACAGCTCCAGATGTCCGTCTGCATCCCCTGGGGCTGTGACTTCAGCTCCTGATAAGCCTCAGAAGGCTGGTGGAGTGGAGGCTGCTGGACGGGGTGCTGCCTGCTCTCATGCACTGCTGCGTCCTGTCCCCTCACCCCGCCCCCACAAGGCCGAACAAGAGCTCCGAGTGGCCCAGACAGAGTTTGACCGGCAGGCAGAAGTGACGCGTCTCCTGCTGGAGGGAATCAGCAGCACACACGTGAGTCTTGCTGCGTGTCCTCCCCCCATGAGGTGTGTCCACAAGTAGGCAACGAGTGACGTCGTGCATTCCCCAGGTCTCCAAAGGTAGCATTTTGGCACGAGCGAGGTGCCTGCGCTGAACAGGTGCCACAGGGGAGGTAGGGTGTCTGTCCCTGAGCAGAGCAGGCAGCTGGGCATTATGTGCTATGGTGGCGGGCCAGGCTATGGCCAAGGACGGAGCTGGGTGGAACTTTTTATCCCCTAAGATGCCGCCTACCCAGGGCTGGAGGTCACAGGCTGCTCTGGCCTCTCCCCCCAGGTGAACCACCTTCGCTGCCTGCATGAGTTCGTCAAGTCTCAGACAACGTACTACGCGCAGTGCTACCGCCACATGCTGGACCTGCAGAAGCAGCTGGGCAGGTGCGGCCAGGCCCCGGGGTCCCCTTGCTCCCAGACCAGTGAGCAGCCCGAGCTTCTCCGGGCAGGAGCTGAGGGAGGCTCTGCCTGCTGCCATCTTCGGGCCAGGCACCACTTGTGTCTGAGGATGGTGGCCGGTCTCAGTCCCCTGCCGGGGTAGGGAGGTGGCAGGAGCAGGGCCAGGGCCCTCTCACTCTTCACTTGCTTTGCTTTTCCCTTCGTGCTGCCAGTTCCCAGGGCACCATGTAAGTAGCGGCGTTGGGAGGAGTCCCACCTCTGGGGTGTCACCTTCCTTGGGCTGGACTCCAGGCTGCTAAGACTCCACATCCCCTCCAGTTTTCCAGGCACCTTCGTTGGCACCACAGAGCCTGCCTCCCCGCCACTGAGCAGTACCTCGCCCACCACCACTGCAGCCACTATGCCTGTGGTACCCTCTGTGGCTGGCTTTTCCCCCTCTCTCCCCTCTC